GTGGCATTGATCCTTTAGTCATATTTAATGTTTATTAGTGCTTATTAGGTGTGTAAAAGTACTTTCAGACAATTCTGATTCAATTATACTACTACATATTTTCTTATAATAAATTAATGAAGCTTTGACCTGCTTGTTAATTAGTGGTGAGGTCAATAATTTATTCAAAGCAAGGCTATTACATTGTGAAAGCAGATTAGGAATAGCACTATGAGTATTTATTTGAGCTTTGTTTTAAAAAAAACAATCTCTATGGACCTAGCTTTTTCTGTTTGAGCACTGCACTTTAACAAAGATACTTCTGGACGTAGTATGGAGCATGGACTATGGTGGGGAAAGACTGGGGATTAGTAGACCAGTTAAGAGGCTTTTAAAATAGTCTAGGCAACAATCTCTATGGACCTAGCTTTTTCTGTTTGAGCACTGCACTTTAACAAAGATACTTCTGGACGTAGTATGGAGCATGGACCATGGTGGGGAAAGACTGGGGATTAGTAGACCAGTTAAGAGGCTTTTAAAATAGTCTAGGCAAGAGAAGATAAAAACTCTAAACCAAAGGATGCAGAGTAGAAATTGTGGTAAGGATTACTTTGAGACTTATGAAGCAGAATGAAAAGATTTGGAGAAGAATTAGATGTCTGGAGGTTATGAAGAAAATATTGGATGATTTTGATATTATAAACTTTGGAGAATGGCTAGATAGTGATGTCATAATATAAATGAGAAGTAGAATCTGCATTCGGAGGAGCAGGCTTGGTTAGGGTGAGTGAGTAGTTTTTAAAAATGATAAATTAATGGCACCATCTGTGGGACTTCCAGGGAAAATATGTTAAGAAGGCAATTAGAGAAAGGTGAGTGTTATAACTAAGATTTGGAAATCATCTTCATATGGAAACTAGTTGAAACCTCAAAAGTAAATGAGATCACTCAAGCAAAGAATGAAAACCTGAGGGATACCAGGAGCAGTGATAGTCTATCCTTAAACAGGGTGAGGACAGATTGACTTGTCAACTAGGTCCCTCCTAATCTTATTCAAGAAGTTTGAGGAGTATAATGGCTGTGATGGCAAGGGTGGACAACTGAAAATGTGATGCACAGTGCAGACTGGTTTTTAGAGAGGCTTAGTGTGGTGGGGAAAGGGAGGGAGATCAGACTGGTTAAAAGGAAAGTGTGATTCATGATAGGAATTTTTAAAAATTGTTATTTAAGGATGGGGAAGATGTTAGTACATTTATAGATTCAGAAGTATCAAATGAAGAAAAAACATTGAAGTTATAGGAGGGGAATAACCCTTGGATCATGATCCCACAGTGGGCAGGCTGGACATGATTTGTTGTATAGGTAAGCAGCCTTGTAGAGAAGTAAGGGAATGTTTTCCCCTGAGATGTGAGGAAAAGAGGTAAGGAATGGTGCTAATGTATTTGATTCTACAAGTGGGGGGAATTTCAAAAAATCATAGATGATGGCCTCTTCTATTCTTTTTCACAAAAATCGTCTGTTGACAATTTAGTGTGGTAGATGTTGAAGTAGGTAATAGGTGAGAAACCAAGAAGGGGCAAGTAATAGAACTGAGCAGCAGTATTGGGGGGCCCTGCTGATTTTTGTGGGGATCAGGGCAATTTGAGAATATTAAAAATCTTGGGGATAAGAATAGGAAAGAAGGCACTGAAATGGAGGAAAAGCTGTGTATGTAAGAGGTGAGGGAAGATGATTACCTCATGATTTTGTCTGTGGCTACTGATAGTGGAAGGTGTGCAGACAAGATATAGCCAGGCCACTGGGCAAGTCTTCTCACTGAGTCTAAATGTAAACTACATCATTAATGCTGTTTTATCAAAGCAAAGTATATGAAGGAAGTTCTGTTGAGGCAGAAAACTATCATTGTAGAAAAGAATTTGTGAAATATTCCATAATATTTGAAGCAATATTTTATGTAACCTTTCAAAAATTTATGAATGAGAGTTTGCCATATTTTTAGTTCATTTTGTCACTACTATTTTCAAACATGGTACCCAGCTGAACCTTTAACTGCTAGAAATGAAGGGCTGGTAAGGATATCCAGTCTAGTGTTTACGCGTGCCATGGGGAAATTTGAAATGAGAAAATATGAAAATAGCATTTTTAATCATTTAGAGTGCTCTCACCACTTTGGACAAATTACATATCATTTGAGTTTCTTACAACCAGAAAGTCTTTCAGATCAGAAATGTGATGTTAAAACCTAAAATAATAAGTTCATTTTGGAAAGGACATAGTCTATTTTCACCAAGGTAGGACCTCTTAGGACTTTATAAATTTCTAAAACTTTTAAAAATAATTAGTAAGGCTATTACGTGCAAGGTTTTCATCTGGACACTTAGAATCAAAGTTTTTTAATGTTTGGACTATGTCTTAACATTCCACATAAGGATTCTCCTTGTGGTGTGCCTGTGTTCCGCTATCTTGTTACCTGAGTATTCGTGCCCAGAAGGGAGGATGAGTGGCATGTCGCTTTGGAGAAGAGAATTTATTTTCCACTTACTTTTCACCATCAAAAATATTTTGGGGGCCTATTTTTAATGCAGTGCTTTGTACTTACTTTTATGTAACGTTTTGCTCTGTGCTTTAAAGGGTGCTTGTAAAAGCAAAAGTAAACAACAGCCTGATAGTGAGGTAAGAATAAAATATTTCAAATTGATAAGTTGATTCTAGCAGCATATAAAATATTTTGCATTGCAAGATCTATGTTATTTTAATATAACAGTACTCTAATCTGAATTGTATTTGATTATAGGTCAATAACTTTTGAGCCTTAGTTCTTTGTTAGAGTGGAATTGGTAGTGTGTCAGTTAAGGAAAATTATTTGGGTTGACTCTAGATAAACATGGCAGTAAGTAGAAGCAGTTTTGTGATGAATTCAGTAAAATAAGGTTGACTGAAAAGTTTACTTTTGTGTAAGTTGTCTTTATGTTTATGAATGTAGATAATAGCCATATCTCTAAAACTTTGAAAATATTCTTTATAGGTTTTCAGATATTAATTTTCACATCTTACATTTTAGTCAAATGTTTCTAAGGATAACTTTGTTTCCCCCAATGTTTTTGTCTTCAGAGAAGTCCTGCTATTTTTGACTCTAGAAGAATGCTTACAATTCTATGATTTTCTGCATTCAAACTGCTTACTTTTTACACATGTAGATGTATTTTTTATTTTTATTTGTTATTAAAACTGTTAATACACATAGAGATGAAAGACCAACAGTGCTTCCCAACTTTTTATTTCTGTTTCTTCCACCCAGAAGGCTACTACTTTGAATTTTTTGAGCTGATTTTTCTTGGCATTTAGCTCCTCATCAGTAAATGGCATACTTATGTTGCTGATTCTTGATTTTTTTTTTAGTTTTAACCATTATGGAAGATAAGGTTTTATCTCTTTTTCCATTCTACCCCATCACATATACATATCATACACACTTCCGATCCCTCAATCTTCCCAACATAGTTATATTAGTAATTTTGATTAGATCAGTATTCATTAACCGATCCATAAGTATACTGTAGTTAACTGTTCTTCGTTAGGGTATGTACATTTTCTTGGAGTTAATAATTATCTATTTGCTTAATTTCCTATATATTCTACTTATCAATAATTTAACTCCTAAATCCCTGCTGGTTTTCTCTTAGTGTGTTTATTCAAATTTATCAACTTCATTTTCTTGAAGATGGCACTCACGGAGCCTTCTGACCTGTCCGGTATGGACTCATTATTCTCCATACTTGTCACCATCTTCCAGGGAATTACCTTTGCCTGTCTTTTGAGTTGGGCCTTCTAGTTCCTGTATCCCATATCTTTCCCTTGTCTGCTTTGCTTTGCGCCTTTGTTTCATGCACAGAGGGCATCATGTCTTTTTTTTTTTTTTTAATCTTTCTGAGAAAAAGTGTTTGTGGTAGGTTAATTTTATGAAACCTTATAAACAACTCTGAAAATTATTTTTAACTGCCCTCACACTTGATTGATAGTTTGGCAGGTACAGAATTTTCAGCTGGGAATGTTTTTTTTAAGATATCGTTTCATCTTCTATCTTAATTAATTAATTAATTTAGTTAGTTATTTTAACTAGCACATCTGAATATTGTTTTAGTTCAGGATAGAGAAAAAAGTGGATAATTTGGGAAAATATTAAATAAGCAATAGTACAAGTGATGTGGGGTTCTATCTGAAGTTTAGTGAACATTGCCTTACAAGATTATAAAAATTTGAGGACAGTTTTTTTCAGGTCGGGAATATCAGGTTATATTCAGTAGTTGCATACAAAGTGTTTTATAGTACCTATTGATGAAATGATGAAATAATTTTAGTTTTTTTCTTTCTTTGGTAGCAATTGCTTGAGTTACTTCTCTGTGCCAAATATTCTTCTTAGTTCTTTATATACAGTATCATTGTTTGTCTTCAAATAAAATCTACAAAATGAGGAAGATGAGAATCAGAGGTAATTTATCTAAGGTCACACAAATAGTAAGTAGAGGAGCCACTACATATTCTGACTTTAGATGTCATCACTAAGCAGTTCAAAACCATTCTGATTTCTGGTTTTGTGTTTTTATTTTCTAAGAGATCTTTTGTTTCCCCTGGAATGTTCATGTCCCGTAGCAATCTAATTCTAGTTTCATGAATACAGTATTCTCTTTTTTCTTTGAGAATTTTAATGACTGTTTTTTTTCATCTTGAGTAGTTTCATTATTTCAAGTAGATTTAAACTGTTTTTTGTTTTGTGTCTATTTTTCATGTTATAGGCTTTTTGCAGCCATCTGATATCTAAAGGTTATTAGCTCATTGTTAAGAGTTGGGGACTAAAACCTTGAAGCTCTGATTCCATGTTGTTTGTTTTGTGTCTATTTTTCATATTATAGGCTTTTTGCAGCCATCTGATATCCAAAGGTTATTAGCTCATTGTTAAGAGTTGGGGACTAAAACCTTGAAGCTCTGATTCCATGTTCAGCTTCACTGTAGCTGTCTTGTACCTGATCTTCGTGTCTATGTCTTTCCTGTTGACTGGTCATATTTTCTAGAGAAGACTCTTCACATCTGCCTGGAAGGTAAGGACCAAACAGAAGGCTTCTGCTATCAGGAGAGAGAATCAGGTGAAGGGGTTTGTCTCAGCATTTAATAATCTCGTTTTCCATATGATTTCATTGTACTTTGTCCAGAAATAACCTCTAATCTTACTGTCTCCAGAAAATAAACCTCTAGTTTTTAGTACTGTGTGGTGGAGGGTGAGGCAGACAAAGAGAGAGTGAGAGAGATTTCAATACTTTTGAAACAGTTTTTTATGTTATTTTCCTTTTTGTAGTTCCCCTCACTTCTAATACCTTGTGCTGCTAATATCTGAGCCTTTGGAAGATTTTGCTGTGTAAATGAGATGGTTTTCTGCTTTCCCCCTGGATCATTTAGAGTTTGTCCTCTTTGGGTCTGCTAAGTCACTTTTTTGTCCATATGTTTTACAGCTTCCAAAGTCACCTTTTCTCTCATTATCCCTATCTTTTTAAATGTATGCCTTATAAAATAAAATGGCACACACACATCTTTACTGTATTTTAGAGGGTTTTTAGGCAAAAGCAAAATTAGATGTTTAATTTATCTTACCTGGAAATACTGATATTTGTCTTCTTGAATAAAAATATTATTTTTTGTTTGTTTTTATTTCTTTTTACTTTTAATTCAAGCTTCATACTTGATTTTGTCAAATCCAAGCACAACAAACTTTTGGAGCCCTTTTGGAGAGGAGGAGTTTCTGCTGGAAAACTATTCTCACTTTTTTTTTTTGACCCGTAAGGGGATCGCAACCCTGGACATGGTGTGGTCCATACCACGCTCAGCCAGTGAGCGCACTGGCCATCCCTATATAGGATCCAAACCCATGGCCTCCGCATTCCCAGTGCCGCACTCTCCCGAGTGAGCCACGGGGCTGGCCCTATTCTCACTTTTAATTTTTAATTTTTTCTTGGGTGAAAGGATCTGTGATGAAGGGCACTCTTCAGCTTTCCATCCCAAAAGAAGATTGTGTGCTCCAAGAGCCACTACATCCATCTATGCCTTGCTTCAGTTTACATTTTTCTTTAGACCACTTGAGTGTTAACATCAAGAAATGAATTGGCTCTTTGAGATACTGATGCCATTACAAATGCAAGCTAATCCCAAAGAGACTTTGTATTTTACTTTGTTGTATGTCAGTTATTGATTATACAAAATTTTGTCTCTGATTAGAGCTGAAAGCTAGGTAACTAAAAGGAAAAAATAATGCAGAGCATTAATAATCCTTCACAGTGTGTTTTTACTAAGCATTTATTGAGCACCTCTGTATACAAGGCACTATATTGGGAATTATAATAAAAGAGGAAGCTCTTGTTTGTTGAGAGGTTATAATTTAATAAAGAAATAGGGAGCCCTTGTACATGAAATAAATAGTAAATGCTGGAAAACCACTTTCCCCTTGTTTTACTAGATATTTTTATTTAAAAACAATTAGGGAAGTGTGAAAAGATATTGCAAATGTATAGAGTCCCTTTGTATCTTGGCTTCATTTGTTAACAGTTGTTATGAACTGAAGATGTTCCTCCAAAATTTATATGTTGAAATCCTAATCCCCAATGTGATAGTGTTAGGAGGGGATTAGGTCATGACGGTGGACCCCTTATGAATGGGATTAGTGTGTAAAAGTGAGCCCAGAGAGCTCTTTGGCTCTCTTTGTGCCATGTGAGAATACAATGTGAAGTCCACATTCTGCAGTCTGGAAAGGGGCCTTCACTAGAACTGACCATGCTGGTACCCTGATCTTGGCTTTCCAACCTCTGGAACTGTGAGAAATAAATATCTGTTGTTTGTAAGCAAAATACAATGTGAAGTCCACATTCTGCAGTCTGGAAAGGGGCCTTCACTAGAACTGACCATGCTGGTATCCTGATCTTGGCTTTCCAACCTCTGGAACTGTGAGAAATAAATATCTGTTGTTTGTAAGCAACCCAGTCTGTAGTACTTTTGTAATAGTGAACCATCTAAGACAGCCATCATAATAGTTTTTTTTGGAATTACATAATGTACAATGATAATTGAAGTTTGTGTCTGTTATCGCTATTCCTTCAACATTTCTTGCCATTCTTGATAAGGGCTTTTTACTCTAAAAGATTACTTTAAGCAAAGAATATGGGGAAAAAAAGATAAGTAATTTGAAAGAAAGGAAAAAATTTATATTTAATACTTCCTTTTCTTTCCTTTCTGATTTTAGTAAATATTTTTGGTTCCATGAAAAAGAAACACCAGCTAGCTGTAATTGTCTCTTGTTTACTTTTGGAAGTTCAGGGATACAGAGATGATGCAACAGAGTGTTGGAAGGTATCTTAACCTACTGTTACTCTGTATCATCCAGCATCTGTGGACCCTCCTGACTGCACGTAGTTTCTAGTGGCCATTTTGACTATTAACTTTGCTATATTTCAGTCATCAATTGTTCTTGCCAGTAGTGCATTTATTTCAGTCATCTGCTGGTCCTAAGCAATTCAGTTTCTTCCACCTTACTGAACTTTGCAGACTGCTTCCAAGTTCCTCAGAGATACTTCTGATTCCTCCATTACTGTGTCCAAGTAGTTGGCATGGCAATAGTAGTAATGAGAAGATGGTTGGTTCTGACCCATTGAAATTTGTGTCTCTATTCCTTCAGGGCTAAAATTATTAAAAAGTCATGTTGCATGGTGGCAAGTCTAGGACTAGAAGCTACATTTTCTCATGCCCAGTGCTTTCTCCACTGACCAAATAGAGTGTTTTGTGATTTTTTTTTTTTTTTTGCATATCTGCCATTTGTTGAAATGCAAGCCCTCAGTGACAGATCCTAGCTCATCCTATCTCTATGCCCTTGGCCAGTGTCTTGCAAAATGCCTCTATTTGTTATCATTTTAGCCTCTTGGGCATTTTCCTTCTTTCCGTTTAGACAAAATATAGAGATGGCTTTTTGGAGGGATCATACATGGGAAATGAATATGGTTTGGGGCCAATCAGTGAAACTGAATTCTTGATATTTTTCCCCCCCTGCTGTTGACTGACCTTTGACATGTCTCCTGACCTCTTTGGGCCTCATTTTTCTCATCTGTAAAATGGAGGCATTATCATCCCATTTAGCTTATGGGAATTTTTTTGAGAATAAAATTGGATAGAAAATGTAGGAAAAGGTATTAAATTACATATGAGGTAGTTATTATTTGAATTCAAGTAGTGGCTTAAAGCAGTACTTAGGATTCACTAGGTTAGAGAAAACACCAGGATGAATATTGAGGAAATTAATCTAGAGTGACATGCAATGGACAACTGACCTAAAAATGAGATAAAATAAAATAATCCTTATTCTTCAGTGATATGCAGGTGCGAGTCAGTGATGGAGGAGTTGTGAGGAATAAGGGACTGTGAAGACTCCTGCCACTATAGCACTTGATGGCTTTGGTTGAATTTAGCATGTGTAGGTGTGTGTTTACATTAGCAGAACTCATCAAAGGGGCTTCCTTAAAGCAGTAATCTCATGTGTAGGTGTGTGTTTACATTAGCAGAACTCATCAAAGGGGCTTCCTTAAAGCAGTAATAGTAAGAAACTCTTCCTCAGTCACTTAGTGTAAATAGAGAAGATTATTTTATTATTTTATGATTGTGAGAGACTAATATTTATTACAGGAGAGTAAGAAAAGTCTTCTACCCTGATAAGAGTCAATGTAGAACTTGATTCTTAGTAATCTCAGACCAAATAACCTGGAGCTGTATGTAGGAACTATACTTTTCATTTTGTGTGTGTGTGGCTAAAAGTGGAAGGTACTTATTCTTCCTGTGTCTTGAAGTTTCTATTTTCTTTTTGAAATCTATAAAGGTTATGATTAGGGTAAAATATTTTTGGAAAAAATATGTAATTTGTAGAATGAAAATTTAAAGAACTAAGAGTTAATTGTTAATGATTTTCATTCTTTCTAAATCTTTATTAAAGAAGTCTTATAACTTAAAGGGTACCTGTTGAAGTTATTAAGAGATATTATTTAATGTGACATAGACTGAAATGGCTTATGAGGGGAAAAAAATCAATAATAAAAAGTACAAACTAATACATAAGGCGTGGAATATTGAAGGGATAAAATGTTCTATATAAGGAGATTATCTTTGGAGAGACAAATTCATGACTTATTAAACAACAGGAAGCATTTTGCCTAATAAAATATTCTGTATAAGGTGCTTAATTTTATTAGGTAAAGTGGTTTTCCTTAATCCTTCTGAATCTGTATAGAAACCTCTAGGAATTCTCATGATACTGACTCTCCAAATATACAGTTTGTAGCTTGGGCAATCTGTTTGTTAATTATTGTTTTGTTACACAGGTATATGTAAATATATTAATTTTGTAAAAAAGTTAAGTTATTACCAGATAGAGCCAAGAGCCTTTTTAACTATTCCCACTTTCAATCTCTGCACCTTCCCCAGGAGTACCTGTTATACTTTCTTTTATATCTTTCCAGACCTATTCCTGTATATTTACATATTCGTACCTGTAGAAAATATAAAATATTGTTTTGTATGCTTCATTTCTATAAATATTAATATAAATATATAAAATATATTTTACTATATTATATTAGTAATATCTTACTATAGTGTATTAGTAATATAATACTATAGGAAACTTGCTTTTTTCCATTTAAAAATGTGTTTGGGAGAGTTTATCAGGTTAGTACGTATAAAATCTTTTATTCTATAACTGTGAAAGATTATTTATAGGATGAGTATAAATTATTTAGCCATTCCCCTGCTAATGAAAATTGATGTTATTTCTATTTTTTCCTATGTTTTCAAGTAATGTCATAGTGAACATACTAATAAATTGCCTCATTAGAAGCAGTATTACCTATATCATGATGATCTTTTACTTGATAATAAAGTTATGACTATGAAAATTTAGTGGAATTGAAACTTTGAAAATCTTTTATTAAAAACATTACTTGAATTCTGGTAAGGTTGGCAGTTCCCCTGAACAAAAAGCCAATATAAAACTGAACAAAACTGTCAAAACAATTAT